TGCAAATGAATGGAATTAGAAAACACTATCCTGAATGAGGTAACCCAGACCCAAAAAAGATGAATATGGTATATACTCACTCATAAGTGGATACTAGCTATAAACAAAGGATATTGAGCCTATAGTTCATGATCCTAGAGAAGCTAAGTAATAAGGTGAACCCAAAGAAAAACATATATAGATCTAACCTGGAAATTGGAAACAGAGAAGATTGCCTGACAAAATTGGGCGTATGGGGGTGGGGGGAAGAAGGGAGGGTAGAAGGGGAAGAGGAGCGTTGAGAACTTGAGGGATGGAGGAAGGACAGAGATGAGAGCAAAGTAAGAGATATCTTAATTGTGGAGCCATTATAGGATTAGCAGAAACCTGGCCTTAGAGAAATTCCCAGGAATCTACAAAGCTGACTCCAGATAAGACCCTAAGCAATAGAGGAGTGGGGGGGCCAATCTTGATTTGCCCTGTAGTCAGACTGATGAATATCTTAAATATCATCATAGAACCTTTGTCCAGCAACTGATGGAAACAGGCAGAGATCCACATCGGAGCACTTGAGTTGCCAAAGTCCAGTTGAAGAGTGGGAGGAATGAGAATATGAGCAAAGAAGTCAAGACCATGATGGGTTCACCCACTGAAACAGTTTACCTGAGCTAATGGGAGTTCACCAATTCCAGCCAGACTGGGAAGGAACAAGCATAGGACCAAACTAGTTCCTCTGAATGTGGTTGACAGTTGCATGGCTGGGGCAGACTGAGGGGCCACTGGCAGTGGCACCAGGATTTATCCCTACTGCATGTACTGGCTTTTTGGAACCTATTCTCTTTGGATGTATACCTTGCTCCGTCTAGTTATAGTAGGGAGGGCCTTGGGCCTTCCACAAAGCAATGTGCTTTACCCTCTCTGTGGATTGGAGGGGGTGGGGTAGGAGGGTGTGTGGAGGGAATGGGAGGAGGGGAGGGACTGGGAACTTAGATTGATTTTTTTTATAAATCTAATAAATTAAAAAAATAAAAATAAAGGACAAATTTGTTAGTTATTTAAAAAAAGAATTAGTGGGTGACAGTTTTGTGGTTTGGGCCACTTGTGGGGCCACTGGTAGTGGGACCAAGATTTATCCCTAGTGCATGAACTGGCTTTCTGGAGCCTATTCTCTTTGGAGGGATACTTTGCTCAGCCTAGATATAGAGGCAGGGCCTTGATTAAAAAAAAAAAAGTGATGAGCCAGATTTTGTTGACTTTCCATGGGAGGCCTTACCCTCTTTGAGGAGTGGCTGCGGGGTGGGGAAGGGAAATGTGGGGAGTGGGAGGAAGGGAGGAAGAGGGAACTAGGATTGGTATGTAAACTGAAATAATATTGTTTTTTTTTTAAAAAAAGAATGTATAAGGAAACAGTTGCTCTGGTGATGAATCTAGCTATAAAATAAATATATCATTACAGCAATCATATTTTAACGTAAGTTATGTAAACTAATCAGGAAAGAGCTGACACCCTCAAATTGTCTTCTGACCTACACACACACACACACACACACACACACACACACACACACACACTGGTACGTGTGTCCCAAGCTCACCACAAGATAAGAAAATATAGTTTTAAAAAAATGTTAAAGGTTGCCAAAAAACTTCCGACTTGAAATGATACGCACCAAGCTACGAGCAATGGCCTACTTAAAAGGACCGAGGTTGGCCGAGCGGTGGTAGCACACACCTTTAATCCCAGCACTTGGGAGGCAGAGGCAGGTGAGTTCAACTCTGTGAGTTCAAGGCCAGTCTGGTCTACAGAGTGAGTTTCAGTAGAGCCAGGGCTGTAACACAGAGAAACTCTGTCTGGCGGGGGGGGGGGGGTAACTGAGGTGGGGGTGAAAAGCATACAGTGACACCTCAGTTAAGAGGATTCTATGCAGCGGCAGGCCGTCATGTGACTTGACTCACATGCTATTCTATGGCAGGCTGAGGGGACTGTAACAATGGCTGTGAGTCGGGGGCTCCAGCCTCCTAGTACCTGTATGTGCGGCTTTATTCCTTTGATTCTTTGGAAAGACGCAGACACATCGTTGTGGTGTTGCGGGCTACTGCGGGGACTGCACCACACAGATCTATGTCTGAATCAGAACCTAGGTGACAGAGTAAGGACACTGCCTCAAAAAAAAAAAAAAAAGTAAAGGAATGGGAAATGGGTTACTGGTAACGTGCTTGCCTGGATCTAGGCTCAAACTAGAGGCACTGAAAAAAAAGTCTTATTTGATTAAGATATAAAGTTATACCCCACATGATACTATGCAGAGAAAAATAAATGAAAGGTTTAAATATTTAGTATCCTATACTTAGGAAATATTCTAATTTTCACACATACCTCCAGTCTATGTGTTTTAATTAACTAAATACTAAAAACAACAGTTTTTGAAATAACTGATTGTGACTATTGCCCCTGCAGGGTAAAAAGTCCAATGAAGTCATCCGGGAATCATTGAGTCTGAAGAAGGGGCAATTAATTCTGCAGCCTCTCAAAGGAGGTAGAAGGAGCTACGGGAAGGTGCTGGAGAGATGGCTCAGCAGTTAGGAGCACGAGCAGCCCTTCCAGAGGACCTGGGCTAGGTTCCCAGCATCCACATGGCAGCTCACAACCATCTTTAGTCCCAGGAGATCCCATACCATTTTTTTTGATCTCCATGAGTACCAGGCACAGATGTGGCATACAGACATATGTTGTGGGATATTATTTTAACTGGGCAAAGAGTTGTTATGTTTGTTTATGTTGCAGAATGTTACTTTAGTTGTATAAAGGTGTGTTACTTTAGTTTCTGCTGCATTAGTTTAACAATGAAAGGATGTGAGTTTAATTGTGTGAAGATGTGTTGCATCTGTTTTACCTTGGCTGCCTAAGGCACCTGATTGGTCAAATAAGAGCTGATGGGCCAATAGCTAGGCAGGAGAAAGATTGGCAGAGCTGGCGGGCAGAGAGAATAAATTGGAAAAGAAATCTAGGCTTGAGAGGGAGGAAGAATGAGAGAAGGGGGAGAGACACACGCAGGACAAGGAGCCAACTAGCCAGCCATTGAGAAGCAGTGAAGGTAAGATATACAGAAGTAAGAAATGCAATAAGCCCCAAGGCAAAAGACAGGTAAAGAGAAACTGGTCAATTTAAGATAAAAGAGCTAGCCAGAAATGTGCCTCAGCTAGACTGAGCATTCAAAACTAGTAATAAGTCTGTGTCAAGATTTGGGAGCTGGTTAGAGACCCAAAAGAAAAAGTCTAGTACAGACATACATGCTGGCAAAACATCCAGACACACACACACACATACAGAGGGACCAGGTGGAGGTAGCACGCACCTTTAATCCCAGAACTTGGGAGGCAGAAGCAGGTGGATGTCTGTGAGTTTGAGGCCAGCCTGGTCTACAGAGTGAGTTTCAAGACAGCCAGTGCTACCCAGAGAAATCCTGTTTCAAAAAACAAGCAAATAAAAAAGGTAAATAAAATAAAAAATAAAAAAAAGAAAGTATGGTGGTTTTTTAAAAAAAAGTCCCCAAAGGGAGTGGCACTATTAGGTGGTGCAGCCTTGTCGGAGGAAGCAGGCTTTGAGGTAGGAGGCTTTGAGGTCTCTTTTGCTCTAGCTTCCCTCAGTGTGACTTTCAGTTGACTTCCTGTTGCCTGCAAGATGTAGCATTCTCAGCTCCAGCATCACATCCGCCTGTATGCCACCATGCTCCCAGGCATGATGTAAACGGACTGAATCTCTGAAACTGTAAGCACGTGACACCCCAATTAAATGTTTTCTTTGTAAGAGTTGCCAAGATTATGGTGTCCTTTCACAGCAATAAAAACCCTAACTAAGAAGATTGAAAGAAAAGAAGAAGCTGTGTGGACCTATAATCGCAGCACTCAGAAAGCTGAGGCAGGAGGATGGTGAGTTTTGTTGTGGAGTAAACTTTTTATATACTGTGAAGATGTGTCTCTGCCAAGGCACCTTCTGATTGGTTTAATAAAGAGCGGAATGGCCAATAGCTAGGAGAGGATAGGTGGGACTTCTGGGGAAAGATGGGAACTTAGGGGAAGAATCTGAGGGGTGGGGAATTCGCCAGTGAGACACAGAGAAAGTCAGATGAACAGCATGGAGGAGAGGTAATAAGCCATGCGACAGAATGTAGATGAAGATACATGGGTGAATTTAAGTTAACAGTGCTAGATGGGGAAAAGCCTAAGCTAAGACCAAGATTTTATAATTAATAAAAAGGTCTCCATAACATTATTTGGGAGCTGGCAGTCCAAAGGAAGTCCGACTGCAGAGTGTGAGGCTAGCCTGGGCTACATTTCAATGCCCCATCTCAAACAAACAAGAAATAAAAGAGTAGAGAGTAAGGTATGCATGATAACAGATAGGGTGTTTCTGTTTCAGATCAATGAAGCTGATCAGTTACATGAGAGGCTGCAGGGGGTGGGGGCCCATGCAGCATTGAAAGTTTGAAGGTTCGAGGCAGAAATCAGATTTTACCACTGCTAGGAACTGACTGCTTGTCTGCGAACCCTCGGAGTCACAGGCTTAAAGTCTACCCCCAGGGGCTGGCATTACTAGTTAGGGTCACAGGCCTTCCTGAGGGGCTCAGCCTATACAGAAGAAAAGGAAGTTCTCTTTATCCTTCTCTACCCACCCCTGGTGCAATGTGAGGACCTGGGAAGAAGGTCAAGTGCAAGTCCAGAGGATGCTGCATCTTATTCTTGGGTTCCTCAGCCTGGAACTGTGAGAAATGCCTGTTGGCTGATCAAACCCCTAAGTCTATAATGCTATAAGGGCCCAGATGATTTCTTTTTCTCTCTGCTCTGGATTCACTCAATTGCCTCTGGATATTTTCTCTCTCCTATTCACAATAGAAACCTTCCCCTAATAATGGAGAAGTCGTGTTGGCAGTTTCTTTACTGTGCCTCCTTGCACAGAGTAACCACAGTGCGTGCTAGGCTGAGTAACAAGCTTGTTCCCCCACACATTCCTGGGAGGTTCGTCACCAAAAACTGTTTCTTTTTTATTTCCAAATCATAATATTCTAATGACAAAAACATAACACTAGTTTAAAAACAAACCTTAAACCTTACAGAACAGTTACAGTGCAATTAAGGGTCTCTTATAACATTTTTAGTGCATGTGCTGGGCAGTTTGTGACAGGCTGACACAAGCTAGGGTCGTCTGGAAGACGGAACTCAACTGAGAAAAGGTCCCCATCAGATTGGCTTGTGGGAGGGTCCAGGCCACCGTGAGCAGTGCCAGCCCTGGGCAGGTGGACCTGGGTTGCATAGGAAGGCAGGCAAAGCAGCCAGTAGGCAGCTTCAGTTCCAGTGCGATGTCCCTCAGCGACGGTTGGACGAGGATCAGAATGTGTGAGCCAAATAATCCTCTTCATCCCAAGATCCGTTTGCTCACTGTTTATCATATTACAGAACAAACCAGGTCACGCATATTATAACATGTAAATGTACCTTTCGTTTCCATGAAGAATAGGGCTTAGTAAGCACCCACAGAAAGGAAAGATGGAAGCAGAGAAGAAGGAAATGGGAGGGAAAAAGAAGCAGGTGGGGAACTGAAGAAAGCTGGGCACCAGCGATGTATCAGGCCCAGTTAGATGAGGCCATTTTGGGGAATGTGGAAGACAGGCACTCGGGACCTCTCTGTGCTACCCTATGGCCCTCTGCTTCCTTTCATTTGAAAACTTTCTTGTTCCAGACAGGGTTTTATCTGTCTAACAGTGCTGGCTGTCCTGCAAGCGGCTTTGTAGACAGACTAGCCTTACAGAGATCCTCCTGCCTCTGCTTCCCACCAACACACCCAGCTTTAAAACTCTTTTTTTTAAAAAAAATTTTTAAATCTAATGTTGTATGTGTGTTGTTCTCTTGCTACTTCTCAGTTATGTTTTCTCTCCACCTGTGTTTTATGCTTCTTTTTTTTAAAAAAAATATTTATTTACTTACTTATTATGTATACAATATTCTGTCTGCAGACCAGAAGAGGGCACCAGACCTCATTACAGATGGTTGTGAGCCACCATGTGGTTGCTGGGACTTGAACTCAAGACCTTTGGAAGGGCAGGCAATGCTCTTAACCGCTGAGCCATCTCTCCAGCCCTGTTTTATGCTTCTATGTCCTTCCTGTGAAGGCATCAGAGGAGAGTTGGTAACTGCCACCATATGTTACTTCCTCGAAGAATTAGTAACAATATTTACTAGTGGCAGAAGTTGATTAAATTCAGTTTAACTAATGATTATGAGATTACTATGTATAAGATAGAAATTTTTTTTTTCTAACTACCATATAACCTGAAAACATTCAAAGGATGATGCACGTTAATAAATTAGGATTGCAGCTTAATAGATAAAATCTGTAGTTGCTTTCTTTTTTAAAAAAACAAAATTTATTTTTTATATTTACTTATTTAAGTGTGTGTGTATGTGTGCGTGCGTGCGTGCGTGCGTGCGTGTGTGTGTGTGTGTGTGTGTGTGTGTGTGTGTATGAGGGCCCACAGATGCCAGAAGAAGATGTTGGCTCCCTTGAAAGTGGAATTATAAATGGTTGGAGGCTTCCCTAGGTGGGTGCTGGGAATGGAACTCAGGTCCTCCGGGAGAGCAGCCACAGTGCAGGAATTGCCCAGGCATCCCTCCAGACCCCCATTGCTTTCTTTTTAAAAACAAACCCTTCCCAGACAATTTGATTCATGGCTCTGAAGACAGATGATGCCTGTTTGGTGTTTTGTGTCTTTAATAAATGGGTTTAAAGTCAGAGATTAATAACAGAAGCAGAAAACAATCTAGTATTTACTATAGTTTACTATCAGACTCAGTATGTTGGGACTAATTCTAAAATTTAAATATCTTAGTCAAAACATATGACCCATTGCTTTCTTACAATGCCTTCAATGAAAATTAAAAGTACCTAGGGTTTCAGAACATAGAGGACTCTGGCATACTGAAAGACAGGCTCTAAAATATCAATAAATCAAATAATATATATTAAAGACAGACCTGATTCTGATGATTTAAGGGATAAGCTGTTATACTTTTCCAGGGCACAAATTAGTATTGCTTTATTTCCTAAGCTTAAGGTGGGAAACTTTCAAAGTTAAATTCAGAAATTAGTGCTATTGATAAAAAGTTACACACACACACACACACACACACACACACACACACGTTGGTGGCTGTGTCAGAGGAGCAGCAGGTGGTAACTGTAGTTCAAGATGTCAACCCACCAGGAAGAAACTCTCTGATCTCGGCTAGATAAGGCCCCCAACACCACTGACCCCAGGAATGTCTTTTGCTTCTGCTGTGCCTTTACACGTTTGCTACTGTGGTCTTTCTTTGGTATCTGATATGGTGTGAGTGGGGAGACCCCCACTGCCTGTAATGTACTGTGTTTCTCTCATGGAAACATCCCATCTTAATGGGCATTTTTACCTGCTGATTGTCATGAGGATGGTTCCTCGCTAAGCTGTACTGTCTAATTGATAATAATAATGTTAGTTTATACAACGTTTTAAAGAATAAAAACAAATACAAGGAAATGCTACACAGCCAGGGCCTATGAGTTTCACCTAAAAAGCTGCATAGACTGTAGCTCAAGTTAATGATTAAGAAAAACAGCTGAGTGCCAGGAGCCAGGCTGGCTCTAATTCTCTTAATGCTGAAAGAATCAGCCACAGGTTTCAGTGTGCATCATTAGCTGAAACGAAGTTTTAAAATAACTTCAGGTTGGGTCAGATGTTTTGATAATAGCTTTGAGATGAAAAAGCTTAGAAAACAATCTAAAGTTCACAAGGTCACAGCTGAGGTCAAAAACACAAAGTAGCCAAATTGTTACTAGCTACTGCACTTTCCTTGCTAGGATCAGCTGATGATCAAAGGTGAAAATTATTTCCCTATACCCATTTCTGCCCTCAATCTCCTGATATAAAAACTATTGATGAGTTGGTATGTAAAGATTTAAGGTAGAACTGACTGATTCTTTTTCATATATAAAAGTTTAGGTGTGTGATTCCTTTAAGATTCCGTATAAGATTACCTTTCAAGATAATAAAACATAATAAAGTAATTGGCCCTTTCTTTGTTACTGAAAAGTGCAACCTGTCAATAAAATTCCTGACAAGAACACTTTGCTTGCCCCCATAGTTAATCTGTTACAAGTTGCTTGGGATACGTAATGTTTAATCATGCGAGGGACATGGGAGACATGCTGGTTTTACTTTAAATCATTCACTTGAAAAGCAGAGTGTAACCACAATGTAATTTTTATATTGCCTGAAAGATTTTTCTGGGTATATAAACTGTAAGGGCAAGAATAGAGATAGAATTAGAAAGAGTTAAAATGAGTTAGAAGGAAAACATCAAGAATCGGAGTTAGAAAGGATACATTAAGAAGAAATATGGAGTTAAAATGAGTTAGAAGAAAAATATCAAGAAAGATAGAGTTAGAATGAGAGAAGGAATAGAGAATGCAGAGTAAGACTAAAGAAAAGGTTTGAAGGAAGCCATCAAGAGAGTATGTGAGTGTCTTTTTCCCTAACCTCCTCAGAAATGTCTGGTATGCACCCACGCTGTGAACTTCCTTTTGAGCCCTAAGCTGCTTGGAGGCTGCCCCTTCCTCCAGGCAGTGATGTACACACACACACACACACACACACACACACACACACACACACACACACACACACTACATTTGATGGTTAGACAATGGTTTTCTACAGAGATCATTTATACTCGGTATAAACGACACTTTTTTCATCTTTCCTGCTGGCAATCTGAGGCACTGCACTTTCTCGTCTTGCTGGGCAGTCAGGCAGACACACACAGGTAAGCAAGTGACATTCTAGAGTGGACTGTGCTGTTTAACAACAATGCTCAGTAGATCAGGTATCCTGAATTTATTTTCAAACTAGGCTACTTCAGCTTATATTAGCTCTCAGGTCGTGTCCCTACTGTAAGATAGGGGCTATAAAACCACATCCAAGCTGGTTTTTCTAGGAAAACTTAACTGTCCTGATGGAAAATGTGCTTATGTGTGTTTATAAAAGTCAGTTAATGTAGTTCTATTTTTAATTATGCCTATCATGCAATTTATATAGTATTTTCTCCCTGTACTCTTCCTAAAGGGAAGATCTAGGAAGTAAGAAACCCTGTATATGTGCAATACAAGTCCTACAAACACTTAACACTGAGAAAATTAATCAGCTTAGAAAATCCTCCTCTAAGAAGTAAGACTTAGGGAACTATAAATATTCATTTATTTGGGTTCTACCCAAAGCAGCACTGTGTGTATTTACACAGAGAAAGGTTAGGTTAGTCTCACGTAACTCCTTGATGCAAGCCTCAAGGGGGATCCTGGAATTTCTCCCTGAGTTTATACTAAACAAAAGATTCTCATGACATAGGATAGACGAACTCAAAGGAATGTAAGGGAACTAGAGGGAAGAGCTAGAATGTGAGCAAGCTAAGCATTTTAAGTAGACTGAAATCTTTGACAAGAGTGACACATGGTAACTTCCATGTCCTGCTTAAGTGCTGCCTGTGATACCGTTTAAGATTAGGACCAGTCCCCAAAACAGACAGGATCCTGTGCTATAAAATCTGTAGGACTCATTTTCAGAGGCTTTAAGTTGGAGACAGTCTGCGCTGTGGGGAGGAACAGACTGATCTGGGCTACTTTAGCACTCTTGGGGGTGGGTGGGGGACAGTTTCCTTTTGGAGACTCAGGTCCAACCTAAGCAACACATCACAAACACAGCTGACTACCTCTTTGGGGTGGAAAACTATATTATCCAGCTTGAAGTCTCCATGAATCAGGCTCTCCTCATTGTCCTTATCTGGCAAGTTCTTCATTAGCCACTTGGAGAGCTGGTCCATGGCCGGGATGTCCCGATGGGCCGCAGCCTGGTACTGATTGGTCCAGGTGGATATCTAAGAGATAAATGAGAAAGTGGTAGAAGATGAAGTGTGGGAGCCAGTGACTCTAAAACAAGTTCACCTGCGCCAAAGCCCACTTCACTCCTAAACACTTAACAAAACATTCGCCAGCTGAAATTCCCGAAGCCTGAAATACTTCTAAAAATCTAAAATCCTGAACACTGCAGTTTCTTTCCCAACTAGCTCCATTTTACCAGCCCAGGCCTTTATCAGACAAGAAGTATAAATGCTGGTATTGCTGCCAAGAATGGTTCTCATGCAGTAACACTTCTTGGGAGAAAGAAGTGTATACAAACCACACACAGAGACACACATACACACACACACACACACACACACACACACACAGATACCAGACACATAGACAAACAGACAGACACACAGTTTCTCTCTGCAAAGTGGATGTGAAGGCTAGACAGAAATTTTCCCATTTAACATCCTTTCCTACACCCACAGAGTATTTTAAACGTATAGGTAGAGTAGATCAGACTTTGTACTGCTCAGAGAATTAAGAGTAAACAAAATCCACCTATTCTCTGAGTCCTCTAACAAAGAAGACCACACTATTGAGCTGTTTATCTCTCTCCATTGCCCAGTGTACATCTGCTCAATTTAGCACAGCACAGCAAAGGTCTTCAACTATGGGGTCTCACTGACTGAGGTTTATATCATGTACTTACCTGTGTATTATTGGGTTAGTATAAACCTCAGAGCCCTCTTCTGCAAAATGAGGATAATACTTATGTCTTACGGGGTTTGCAGAGACTTAAAAAAGAGAGTGTCTACAGCTTATTTAGCCTACGGCACAATACACAGTGAATATTCTCTGACTCTCCCTACCCCACCCTCAAAGGATACACATAATGAAATGCAACCCATACGTAGCTGGTCTCACTTTTATTTGACTGCAAGAGTCACCATCTTGTTCTTAACACTCTATGTTATTTCTTTCCTAATGAGTTTTTACCATCCAAGCAAAGGCATGCCAATCTCTATGCCTTGGACATACAGTTCTTGGGATGAACAATGAAAAATTTACAAATAGGTAATACACTCAGGGA